CATGAACTCAGCACACCTGACATCTAGCAGGTTGTGAGTTACTTTTATTTCCCCTATATCACTTGGACGGTTTGCTTGTGTTTCATGGATTCTGGATTGTGACTCACTGAGGTAACTAACCAGAAATTGTAATCCTTGTTTGTCAGTAGCTTAAGTTTTAATATTTTTTTTTGTACCAGGGATCAAACTCATGACCTTGCATTTACCAGGCAAGTGCTTGAGCCACTGAGCTAAATCCCAGGGCCTAAGTCTTAAATTTTTATGCCTTGTCCTTTTTATGCATTTTTAAATTAAAATCATGGTAAAAATAAAATGAGATTATGGAAAGGTTATGATTATTTCTTAGATGGGACATTTTACTTTTGCAGGCCATGTCTTACATTCCTGTATTTCATATACTCATTTCTGATCTTTTCCTGTTACTATATACTTTCCTTTTTTGAGGTATGTTTCTGCTTTAGATTAGAGAGAGAAGAACCCTGAATTCTTTCAGCCTTTCCCTCCTATTCATCAACTAAGAACTTATAAATTAACTCGCAGAATGTCAGTGTTTACTACTGCTGAAGAGAGGAAAATCATTTTATATGAGGAACACTTATACCATCTCTGGGTCAAATGACCCATTGGAATTTTTTCTGTTAGAGAGAACACACATATTTAAGGGACTGAAATACATTCAATTTAAGGGAGAATCCCAGATCTCCTGGCTCTTTCTCTCTCTCTCCTCCTAGTCCTGGTTTTCCTCATTTACGTGTATATGGGAGGAAAGTACTTTTGCTAATGTGTAAATTGTGGTTGCTTTAATCCATGAGATTCATAACCTTGTTGTCAATGAAGGCTGCCTTGGTGGTGGTACAAATGTCTTAGGAACTTTGTTTTAGGGCCCAGGGCAGGATTTTTCTGAGCTGTTACTTGTCTCTATCTCTAGAGGGGATCTTTTTTACAGGCTTGGAATTGCTCCAACCACTTCCAATTTGCACTTTGATTTTTCCCCCCTCACTCTCTTTAAAAGAATTAGAAACCTGTTTTGGGGTCTCTTGATTAGTGGTGTAATTTTGCTAGCAATGCTTGCTTATTTAAACATGTCTGTTACAGCTGGAATCAACTGTAGCTTGTGTTTTAGAACCACATGCTGGAATTAGGAGAGTGAACTTCTAGAGAAGGTAGGGTTATGAGTTGGTAAGAGTGGCTGGTCCAGTCTGACCTAGCTTCTTGTCAGTCTCCAGATAGCAGCTTTCTGGAGAATGACAGATTCTGGAGCAGCTCACCTCAGGAGACACCTTAAGAGGATATAAAAACCAAGTAGATATAAAAGATGCCCATTTTCCCCTGATTTTACAGATGGAAAACTCAATATTGAATTCTCTTACTGTTTTGGAATGTATTCTTAAGCACTAGAAATTGTTTGACATTCACTTATTGAGAAAGAGATATTTAATATTTTTCTGTACCATTGCATGACTTTCCCAGATGCAAAATGGAATGTAGAAGAAATATTGATTGTTATACTATTTTATAACTAGAATTATACTGTAAGAGAGTGGAAAATGGTCAGAATTGCATTATATTCAGATATTTTTTGCATTGATATAACCCCTTACTTGTACTCAAAATGTAAATGTAAGCCACAGGAAAACCAGACATCTCCAACCCTGAAACATAATGGGATGATCTACTATTAATGAGTCTGAAGCTCCCTTTCCTTGCCCTTTGGATCCTAAAGAGGAGGTTTCTAAGGCAACCTTAATCAAAGCCTCATCCACTATTAATAAGCCTGAGCTGCCCCTCACTTGTCCTTCAGACTCTAAGGGTGAGATTTCTAGTGAAATTTAATTGAAGCCTCTACTGGGATATACCCATTCCTATCTGAATTTATTCAAGCTCCTCTAGGACAGTATCCTTTACAGGAGGAGGATTAAGAATTTGGTCCTTTCCATATCCATGTGTTTTTTTTTTCCTCAGTGAGCTCAAAGAAATCAAATAAGATCTGGGAAAGTTTTCAGAAGACCCTGAGAATACTGAGGTCTTTAGGGAACTGAGGTCTACTGGAACTAGACTGGAAAAAAGTAATGTTACTCTTAAATCAAACATCAACTTCTAATGAGATATAAGCAGCATTAAAATCTAAAACTGCATGTGGAGATGAATATTATAGGCCCTAAAATAGCTAAGGGAATCCCTAGAAATTACAGGCTCTTGCCCTCTTTGGGTAGCAGGGTATGATGAGATCACATGACCCCTCTCAGTTTATAAAGGAATCCCCCAAATACCAATATTTATATTTTAACCTGGGCACCTGATTCTTAAACTGTGTTCTGGAGTTTAAACAAGCACTTCTGAGTGGCTCGGCACTGTGCTTATCAGCAGGACACTGTTTCAATCATATGATGGTAAATTGTTGCTTCCTGGTGCTAGTTAATGGAAAGTTATTAAGTTTATATCAACCTTTCACTTGGGAAAGACAAGACCTACCAGATGGTCTCACAATTATTCATAGGAAAGAGACTTTCAGAGATAGTGAAACAGATAGTTAAAACATGTGACCTCTGCTAAGAGAACAATCCTCTTAACCGGACCATAGTCCTTCCAGGTATACATAGACATGATAAATACCCTGGGAAAGACTGGCAGCTTGAATTTTCATATGCCAAAAAGTAAAGGGCTCCAACACCTATTGGTCTTAGTAGATACTTGTACAAATTGAGCTGGGGCCTTTCCTTATAAAACCAAAAACAACAAGAAAAATAACCTCATCCCCCAAAAAACACAAGGGAGTACTTGTGTAATTTATAAAAGCTGAATGTTGTTTGTACGTTTCTGATTCTTCTGCTAATATTATGAAGGCTGTTCAGTATATTAAACAAAGGCTAAAGTCAGGAAAGATTTTGAAATTCTCTGCACTTTCTCCTTATCATCTTTGTGGGAGATCATTTCTGGCTCTTCCTGGTGAAACTATGGGTCAGTTGTATCCATAAGAGTTTTTTGGATCTTATTATTTGGCCCATGCATACTTAAGTGTTTTTTTTGACCTTGTCTCCTTCAGACTTAAATCTATACTCCTAACCAAGATGAGAATGTCCAATGTTTGTCAAGGACCTTTAGATAGACCTTCTGGAGGCCTGACTGTTGATCACAACTATGACCCTTTCAGCCACAAGTAGCCAGAAGTCATTTCCCCTTACCCTCTCACAGTGATTTAGGGGAACTCTTCAGAGGGCATTATAGAGAGGTAAGTTAGTAGAAATATTCTAAGTAGTGACAGGGCCAGGCCCTCAAGGGAGGCAGTGCAGAAGATGAGAACACATTACAACTGGAAAGATGCTACCAAGAGACGAGAAAAGTGAAGAGTGGAGGAAAAAAACCATGGGGACAGGGAAAGAGAGAGAGAGAAGGAGGAAGGGAGAGAGAAAAACAGAGAGACAGAAGAGAAAGAGACAGAGGGTGCTATAATTAAATTTGAGGTTGTATTTGCTTGCAGTTTAAATCTGGTTGTTTTCCCAAACATTAAATATGTCTGCTATGTTCATAAGCTTAGATTGAGACTAACCTTTAGAAAAGGGAGGAGTCACGGTTCATCAAGCCACAAAGGCTATTCAGAAAACAAGTGTCCCTTTCTTTGTAAATCTCTATGTTATTTGGCATTTTTCTAACTTCACTTGGTCTGTGTACTTCACTGAAAACATCTACCTCATTTTAAGTTTGTAAAAATAATCATTTCTATACTGGACTATGCACACAAATACGCCAGAAGAACTCCTGGATATCCTAACCGCATTGTTCCTACCTTTCCTACTCCAGTTATATCTTCGCTTTGGAACTAGAATTGAACACGTATCTATATTCGGCTGTTCTCACCACCATGCTTCCCTGTGACTGTGACTCCACTACTTTACTGGCAATAAATTCACGGTAAAGCATTTCTTCTGGCCTTGTATAACTTGTCACCTTGCCTGCATGGTTGTGCAGTTATCTACTTTGGGTCTGGCTAACCACCAAAATTCAGGCAGAAAATATTAAAACAGAGCTTTATCTGTGATGACAATGCTTAAAAAATGATTGTCAGATTTGGTCAAAATTAAAGTTGTTAGCAGTTTTCCAGACTACCGATAATAAATCTATCAGTTTGGTTATGGTTTAATGTACTAACGCATTTTGTTTTTCTTAACTTTTAAATTCAGGTTTGCTGGCCAAGATTTTGTCTAGTTTTAGTATCTGTAAGAGGTTTACTGGAATAGAGTAATTATTTACATTTTTTAAAATGTGCAGTGATGCTATGAGATGTTATAATATATTTTTCACATTTAAAGTCTTATTAACTTCAAAAAAATCTTGCTTCTCCTTGCTTTACAATTTCTTGATACTTAACAAAATCTCTCTACTAAAGGCATATAACCAAGGACATATAAGTTAGTACAGCATACTGCTTTAGAACTTATGAAATTCCACAGTTCATAAACAGTTAATGAAGCTAAAGAATGTCTATACTCATTTTTCCAAGTCACCAGGCAATCCAATTACTGTTATCTTCCTGTGAGAATGTATGGCATTAAGAAGCCTTAAAGCCACTTAGAGTATTTGCAGCTCTGGTGTCAGTTTATACCTGCACATTTTATTTGCTATGCAGGTATTCACTGCTAGAGATAAATATTGTAGTGTAAGTGTTTGCAGTTTTTCCTTGTTGTCAGCATAGGAAATCCGAGTCTTGGGAAATGCTAGAATAATAATCTGTTTTTTCAAACACTGCAATCCTTCTAATCCATCCTAGAGATTGTAACATGCCTCTATCATTCAACCATCCCCTCTTGACTATGGAAAGTCTCAAGAGCTAAGAAACTCTTCCAGAGTTTGATGAAGATTTTCTAATTTAGAGTGGGGCAACCCATTATGCAAGAAGTCCTTTCTTTATTCTTAATAATAAACATATCCACTCAAAAGACAAATACCTTGGTTCATTACATTTAATGAAAATGTCATAAGAACATCTGAGTAATTTGACCTACCCATCTAAGAGAGCAATGACGTTCTTCCTGGGCCGCCCAATATTAGGGCCATATAAGCTGGCTCTGGAATAAATCCGGATGGGTTGCAACAAGCTTTTGAGCTGGATGTAATCCTTTCCCAACTGGCTGCCATTTACTGCCCGGCCATGCATGGTCCGATAGTTGTTTGGCTCTAGATTAAAAACATACATGTAAATTAGAATTGAGAAGAGTGAAGCCCTGCCAACTTGTTCCTGTCCACAGATCTCTATCTTTTTCTTAACAGTATGAATAAAATTACCAAAAAAAGGTGTGAGTTGTATTAAAGAACTGTGCCAATGAATGAGTTAACTTAGCAATGTCATCTCTCTTCCATTCATTTTTAAGCCAATCCATACAAAAGGTCACTAAGCCACAAATAGACCATACTTATTTTCAGAATATACTTCATAAGGAATGGTATACTAGATTGAATAGTATCCTTCAAACTTCTTATCTACCAGAACCCCAGAATGTGACCATATTAGGTAATAGTGTTCTTGGAAATAATATTAGGTCATACGGGATTAGAGTGGCCCCCAAAACAACAGAAAAAATGCTGTGTTATGATAAATACAAATATTGGGTAAATGCTTTTATGCTAAGGACTGTGGTTTCAGAAGCAAGGACAGAGATGTGGAAGACAGGCTCCCTCAGAGCTTCTAAAAGGACTGCAACTACTGTTAAAATTCAGACTTCTAGTCTCCAGGAAGGATACATTTGTATTATAAGCCACCAAGTTTATGGCAATTCATTATATCAAGTTCTAGGAAACCAATACAAATGATAAGAATATTATAAAGTTTGTAATTTTACCAAAAAACCTCAGACTTCATTAATATCGAAATAGCTGACCAAAACTCTCTTACCCACTGTTTTAGCTTATGTCTGGATGTCTCGCCAAAGCCTCATGCTGTCATAGGCAGGGCATTTTGGAGGTGGCTGCATCTGGTTGTGTGTGCTGGTGGGATCGAGGATGTAGTGCTGGTATTAATTAATGGTGCTATGCTAGGATGAAGGGTGTGAATGATAAAATATGAAACAGAAAGACGGTCACTTGTTGCTTTGCAGCTTTGCTTGGCAAACCTTGGAGCCACCAATTATGAACTAAAATTCCTATAAATCATTAGCTATCATAAACCTTTCCTTTTTTAACTTTGAATGTCAGGCATTTTGTCTCAGCAACGAGAAAAGTAACTAAGACACCCAGCATCAGCTCAAAAAAGCATGAAAAGACCTAAAAACCAGCAGTTTTATCCAGGCGTGGTGGTTCATATTTGTAATCCTAGCACTTTGGGAGACTGAAGCAAGAGGTGCTCAAGTTTGAGCCCAGCCTGGGCAACTTAGCAACTTAGTGGGACTGTGTCTCATAAATGGAGGAGGGCAGGAACGCAACTCAATGTGAAGGCCTTGATTTTAATCAATCTTTAATACCACGAACAAATAAATGAACAAATAATCCCAGATGTTTTACTGTAGGAAATGGCTAACTAGATTTGAAATATAACACACGCCTAGGAAGGCCAAAATTTCACAGCTGGATGCTATAAAAATGGTAGGGACAAAACAGAGATTAGGAGAAGATTAGGAGACTTACAAGAATTCAAAGGGAGAGTTGGCGAATAGACCAGTCACAGTGAACCTTGATAATCTAACCTATACGCCTTTAATTGAAAAGACTGTACACACTCAGGAGAGACTGGAGAGGGTGCTAGATAGCCACTCATTAACACAAAAATGTGAAACATAGGACTCGTGTATAGTGTGTTAGAAGCTCAAATCTAATCAAACTTGTAAACTGCATAAATGTTGAATATATCCCTCAACCTACCTACAGATCTGCTAGCAATATATGGAAGCCTTACTAACTCCAAGTAATTAAATACAACCTCTGGTCAATCTTTGTTCATTTTAAGCTATATTGACTTATAGACCACTTCTAGGAGGCTCAAACTTAAAAATGTCTTTAGATAATTAAAACATTTTTAAAAATTTTAGTGATACCAGCAGCTATATGATGTAACAGAGACAGATTCTACAGAATTAGTTCAGGTAAATTTCTAAACAAATAATAAAAATAGACTAAGGATTAGAGAATTAAGACTACAGAATTTCCCCAATGTAGTATATAAAATATATTATTTTAATAATAAGAATACAACTATGTGATGTGCAAGGAAATAAGAAAGCGTAACTCATGTACAGGGAAGAAAAAAAGATCAGTAGAAACTATTATGAGACCGGAATGTTCCATCTGGCAGACAGATATCAAAACTATTTTTTAAATGGTCAAAAAAATAAAAATAATAAAGATTTAAGGTATAATGTTACTAGCTAATTAAATAAAAAATAAATAAATGGACTGCAAAAGAACCATATGGAAGATCTTAAACCAAAATGACTCATCATATACAGAACTGAAATTAGTAGTAATGTTTTTGTCAAAAACTGTGGAAGCCAGAAAACAATAAGATAATATTTAAAATGCTGAAAGAAAATAAAAAAAAACATTTAAACAAACAAAAAACTGTTAACCAAGAATTCTCTATGTAGTAACATATCCATCAAAACTGAGAGCAAAATTTATACATTTCCAAGAAACACAAAGAAGAGAAATTTCATTATAAATTTCTATAAGATATCAGAAGGCTGATACAGTGGCACTTGCCAATAATCCTAGCAGTGAGGGAGGCTTATGTAGTAAGACCACAAGTTTGAGGCCAGTCTAGGCAACCTTATTTTGGGACCCTGTCTCAAAATAAAAAAATTAGAAAGCCTGGGAATATAGCTTAATAATAGAGTACCCAGTAAAACACACACACGCAAGAAAGAAAGAAAGAAAGAAAGAAAGAAAGAAAGAAAGAAAGAAAGAAAGAAAGAAAAAAGAAAGAAAGATAGTCTTTCAGATTGAAATACATTATGGCAACTCAAGACCACACAGATACAGCAAATATAAAATAGGCAATTACATAGGCAAATGTAATTGAGAATATTCATTAACCTCTTCCTTTCTTAAATTATTTTACACAAATAAAATATGCATCGATTGTTGGGTTTAATACATATAAAGATGCAACATTTACAATAATTATGGCACCAAGGATGGAGTAAATGGGATATTTTTGGAGCAGTTTCTGTATTAAGGTAGAATTAATCATTACTCTAAAGTAGATTATGATGAATTTACATATATTATTATGCAGGTAATAACAAAGTACTAAAAAGTGACAAAAGATGAAATTGGTAGACAACAGTAGACAATATTTGAATATTGGAGAGACACATTTCTTGGAAATGTATAAATTTTGCTCTCAGTTTTGATGGATATGTTACTACATAGAGAATTCTTGGTTAACAGTTTTTTGTTTGTTTAAATGTTTTTTATTTTCTTTCAGCATTTTAAATATTATCTCATTGTTTTCTGGCTTCCACAGTTTTTGACAAAACATTACTACTAATTTCAGTTCTGTATATGATGAGCATAAATTGAAAAGAGCTATATACTGTTCATTAAATGTAAAGTGATTAAAAGTACAATTACTAGAAATCATCAAACTGAATAAAACATATTTAAGTAGGATATATGTACTTTTCCAGTGCACACAAAATATTCTTCAGCATAGAATATCTGCTAGGCCAAAAAACATACTCATTAATTTTAAAGGATTAAAATCAGACACTATATATATCCTTACCACAATTCTAAATTAAGCTAGCAATCAGAATTAAACTAGCAACAACATTTCAGAAGTCCCCAAATACTTAGAAACGAATCTGTGGGAGAAAGGAAATCACAAAAAAAAAAAAAAAACAAAAAAAAAAAAACCCAGAAACTATTTATGAGGAGTAAAATAAAAATATAATGTAAAAGAACATATGGGATACAGTATAAGCAATAGTTTAGGGAAATTGCATAGCTTTAGGCCCCAATATTGAAGAAAGATCTACAATGAGTGGCCTAAGGTTCTATCTTAAGAAATGAAAAAGAAAAATTAAAGCCACCGCAAGTAGGAATGAAATTTTAAAAGTATAAATCAATAATATTCAAAAGTGAAAAAGATCAGTGAAAGCAGAAGTTGATTCTTTGAAAAGATCAACATAATTGATACACTTTTAGGAAATTATCACAAACTTCAAAATTAGGACTGAATGGAATAACCCCACGAAGAGTCTCGTATTAATTCAACTGATAAGGGACTTTAATAAACAACTTTCTGCCAATAATTTAGACAAATAACATAAAATGAAAAGTTTTCAGGAAAGACATAAATTGTAAGAATAGAAAACCAAAATGAATATCTAACAAGAAAGTCCAAACCCAGATGAATTAATTGGCAACTACTGTCAAATATATTAAGGAATAAAAACTAGTCTCTCACAATTTTTTTTCCAGAAAATGGAGCAAAGATGTACATTTCTCAACTGGATTTGAGGACAGTATTTCCTAATACCAAATCCAAAATCATGAAGAAAATACAGAAAAATATCCCATATGAATATACACACAAAAACTACAACAAAATATTTATAAAAAAGTCCAGCAACATATGAAAACATATAAGAAGATCATACACAGTGATGAAGTAGGATGTATGCCATGAATGTAATACTGATTTACTATCAAGATCTAATTAATGTAAAATATCATATTGAAACAATAAAAGACTAAAACCACATTATTATCTCAATGGGTGCAAAAAAATTTGACAAGTCAGTCCCATTCCTGATAAATACTCTCTGCAAACTATGATTAAAAGAGAACATCTCAATCTGTGAGTTATATCCAAGAAAAACTTTCAGCTAACGTCACACTCAGTGATGAAACACTGAGTGTTTTTCCTGTAAGACAGGGGGCACAAGGCGAGGATGTATACTTTTGCCATGTACAATCAAATCTGAGTTAAATGTTCTAGCAATTGCAGCAGTCAGGCAAGGAAAAGAAATTAAAAATATCTAACTGAAAGGAAGAAATGAAATATTATTTTCAAGTGGCATGTTCCCATAAGGAAAATCCAAAGCAATATGAGGAAAAACAATATATTAAAAGTTAAGAAATGTTTAGGGTATAAGAGGGTATAAGATCAATTTATGAAATCAACATCTTGAAATTCTAGTAGCACACACTCCAAAAGTGACTCTAACAGTTCCAAATAC